CCGCCCCGCCAGACTCAGTCACGTGCCTGACAGAGGCGCGGCTGCAGGAACGCCAGACTACATCTCCCGCCATGCCCCACAGCACGAGACCAGCACGTGAGCGGCGGGGCGAGGCGCGGCGGGGCGGGGCTGCGCCTCCGAACGGCAATCAGGGCATGTCCTTGACCGAAGGGCGAGAGTGAGAGCAGTGGCTCTTTTTCCCTGCTCCCTCCCTTCCGGGCATGCCCACTGAGAGGCGCGGCTGCAGGAACGCCAGACTACATCTCCCGCCATGCCCCACAGCACGAGACCAGCACGTGAGCGGCGGGGCGAGGCGCGGCGGGGCGGGGCTGCGCCTCCGAACGGCAATCAGGGCATGTCCTTGACCGAAGGGCGAGAGTGAGAGCAGTGGCTCTTTTTCCCTGCTCCCTCCCTTCCGGGCATGCCCACTGAGCGCGGGCTTCTACCCTCGCCCCCTGGTTCATGCAGGAGCCAATAGGCGGCGGGAGGGGGGTGGGGCGAGGCGGCCAGGTGAGGCAGGGGCGTTGGGAGAAGGGGCTCGCAGGTGGGGGCAGGGTGTTAACGGCTGCGCGAGAGCCATGGCAACCAGCGTGACAACCGGTGGGGGCGAGGCGCGCGCCGAGCCAGGGCGATTGGGAGGCGGCGCGTGAGGCGCTGAGGCTTCAGGGAGCGTTATGGCCTCAACCCTGCCATACATGCCTTGCCCCAGCTCTGCGAAGCAGTCCCTTCCCCGGGCAGCAGCCACAGGGGGTCATGCTCCCTACAATGGCAGGGATACAACTGTCTCTGGCCCCTTGGGGACTGAGTTGACCCACATGCGGCCAGGCCAGGGCCAGTCTGGGACATGCGCTACATGCCTATGGTGTGAGTCTGGCTGGAGTGGGCACAGGTGCTGCAGCGGGTGTGGTGGCAGGGGGAGCAGAGGGGGCTGTGAGCTCAATCTGGCCCTGGCACCAGCCCATGACATACCTCCCTCCTGGGATCCAATGAGTTTGACATCCATGCTGCAGTGGATCCCCCTGCACCCTTAGTGTTGCCTGCGCTTGTGTTCAGACCTGCGTGGCATAAATGATGAATCTGACCTTTGTTCATGGTGGGTTTTAAGTGCCCTGGGTGGGAAACTCTGCCTTGCTCCCAGCAATTCAGTAGAGACCTCCCCTCATGCCCACTCCTGAGCATCTCTAATCTTGCCTCTTTTGGGTTTCTTTTCCTTTCCAGAAGAGCTTCTTCAGATGGACATCATGTTAGCTGCAACACATAGCAATATTAATTGCCTCAAGCAGTCTGCTTCTGCCTTGGCGTCGGAGCTGATGCGAAGGACTTGCTGGAGATGGTGGTGAAAGAGGAGGCATTCTCAGTGTCCTGTACAAGGAGCAAGACTCATGGTTCTTATTAACATAGCTTGGTTGGTTTGGTCATTAGATACTTTCTGCCTTAGATTTGTTTGCTCCTATTTGTTAAAAGAGTTAATTAAGCTCAGTGTTCCCATAACTGCAAATTTATCAAGCACCAATCTTCTCAGTCAGATCAAAGGTTGGGCACTGGCCTTTTCTGTATTGCAAAAAGGTTTGTGTTCTGAATTTATTTTCCTGATAAAAATAGAAGAGAGGCATCTTGAATGTGTGCACTCTATTGAAATACATCCATTTGCTATCTTAGTAACTGAATTACATGAATATAGCGAATTTGTCCTGTGAAACACAGCACACATTATTAAAGTCTAAGTATATGTTAGAAAGCAAATACTGAGGCATTCATTACTGGATAAATGTTCCAGCTGGTGGGTATTTTACATGTTGATAATTACCATTAGTGTAGTTGTACTGGAGGAGATGGAGTACAGTTCCAAAATGCACTGTAGAGAAAATGTAACTGCATGTGGAGGAACGTGATAAACCTTTGCACCTCTTTGAAGCCTTGTATACCTACATTGCAAGACGGGACTATGCTATTATTGCTGTATTGGAAAATAGCTACATTTATACATTTTCACTTCTTAAGGAAATGAGAGCTTCTGTATATGAACACAGTAATTGCTCTTGTATCACGCAACAAGTTTTGATGGAAAGTTGGCTTCAAAAAGTAAAATTTGTTCTATACTTGTTTACAGTCCATGCACAGTAAAGGAAAATAAATAGTTACTGTCAAGATTATTTTAATAAGCTGAAAATTTTCTCTAATAAGTATTACATTTTCCTTTTTTAAAATTTAACGAACATATCTTTTTTTCCAGGTTTATGTACAGACTGTTGTTCAGCATATAGCAGCATCTGAAGAAACATGGAGTGGGTTGGTGTTACACTGATTAAAAAAGTAGGATGTCATGTCTGGACACATCGACTGATGATTCCCCCCAAAATGAGAACATTTCCCTGTAGTGACAACTACAGAATGCTGTCTAGCTACAAGCCTAAAAATATCAAGGACTCTTACAGAATTCTCAAACTTCAGGAAGGATGTTCCATTGATGATATAAGAAATCCCTTTCGAAATCTTGCCAAACAGTATCATCCAGACAGTGGTTCTGTCACAGCTGATTCTGCAACATTTATGCAAATAGAAGAAGCATATAGAACTGTGCTAACTGATCTGTCCAAGAAATTGAAATCAAGGGAAGATGAGGAGGAGGAAGAGGAAGACAAATTCAAGTCCAAAACGCCACAACACCGACATTACTTAAGTTTTGAAGGTGTTGGATTCGGAACTCCAAGTCAACGAGAGAGACAGTATATGCAATTTCGAGTAGACCGTGCTGCTGACCGAGTCCTGGAATATCGAAAGCAGAAACTTGAGAGCCAGTATACTACAAATGACATCATGATAGCCAAAGATGTAAGGCAGAGTAAGAAAGTAAAAATAACCCAAGCAATTGAACGCTTGGTTGAAGACCTCATCCAGGAATCCATGGCTAAAGGAGATTTTGATAATCTCAGTGGTAAAGGAAAACCATTGCAGAAATTTTCAGACTATCTGCATATTGATCCTATGACTCACAACTTGAACAGGATTCTAATCGATAATGGATACCAACCAGAATGGATCCTGTTGCAGAAAGAAATACGAGAAACCATAGAGCAACTAAGAAGGGGCATACTGGCATCTAGGAAAAAACTTGGAGAGCCAATGACACTGTGCAGACAGAAACAATGGGATCACATTTGTGAACAATTTATAGAAGATATCAAGAAACTAAACAAAAGAATTAATGACTTCAATTTAATTGTTCCCATTCTGAGCAGACAAATGGTGCATTTTAGTGCAGACAAAGAAATTGCACGAGCCCAGAAGACTTACAGGACTCTGATGGAAGAAATGAGGACCTCTGACAAAGACCCAAAGGAAAATGAACAGGAAAATGTCAAATTGTTTAGGTTTAAGACTACTTTTTTTAAACTGATAAATCTTATGTTAAGATAAAACTAACATCACCATTTTGGCTATATAGTGCATGTACTTTGTCAGTGCAGCTAGCAGTATTATAGTGGAAATTTTTCAGATTCACTGAAAATATCAAACCAGCCCTGTTACTGTTTAAACATTTAAGGAATCTAATTGTCTGGCCTACTTCTTCACATGATCAGTGGGTTCTTTGTGAAAGCTGCTAAGGAACAAATAAACATTTTTTTTTTCTAATTCATTAGTCCTACTTCTTCTGAACCAGCTTTTCTTTCTTTCTTTCTTCTGCAGTGGCCTTGTAGATTTGAGAAACGTTGAGACAAAAACACTTTGCGCTAAATACATCCCTGGCATAACTCCATTCTCTTTAATGGAGTTGCACCAAGGATGAATTTGACCTAATCTCTTTTCATTAGACTTGCAGCAAGCACAAGTACTAAGCCATACTCCTCCAAATGTATTCAATTTATTAAGCAGAATTCTTCAGAGTAGGGCTTTACACAGTTACTGCACACTTATAGTAAGTGAAAGCAGAAAGAAAAAGGCAGATGTACCGAAAAATAAACTAGGCAGGCAGAGCTCTGTAGAAACATGAGGCAGCAATTCCAGCAGGATATGAGTCATGGCACCCAAATTCTGTTCTTTTTTTTGCCATTGCCTCTGGCCTCGAGTAAGTAATTCAGGGCTATGCTCTCAAACATAGTGAGGAATTGCAACATTTAGTGTTGCAAAGCTTAACTCCTGGACCTCCTGTCATCTACAGAACTCCTCAGCCCCGAGTTAGTTCCCCAGACACTAGGGCTAGGGACAGACATTACACATAAACCAGTTTAACTGATCAGAAACTGGTTTAAACCTGCAACAGAACAGATATTCAGTGCACATAAACCAGTTTGAGATAAACCTGGTTGAATGTAGTATCAGACTTAACTGATATGGCTCAAACAGGTTTATGCAATGTCTGTCCTAGACTCCTTGCTGGTTTAAGATAAACCAGACACCCCCAGCATCTGGGCATGAGCAGGGCTCTCTGCTCCACAGCAGGGCTGGCCCCTCCCCTCTGCTCCCTGGCTGCAGCTCCTCCCCGTCCCTCCCTCTCACCACTCCCTGCTAAGCAGGAATTCCCCCCCCCCACACACA